ACTTCAAGAAGCATCATTGTGAGTGCCTAAGACAAACATCAAAACCAACCGTGATAACAAAATTTATATAGAGAGCATTAGTCATATCTAAAGTGCATATTGTTAAAATATCTTATGTGACAGTGTTTCCTTATCGTAGTGGCACGCCTCTGAAGATGATTCTTTCGAATCGAAACATGTAAGGTGAATGAGGACTGAAGTGTTGTAAACTTGTATGTCACACTGGACTGAACTTTTCACTATCTACTCTGTAATTAATAGTGTGATGGACCAAAATGAGAAAAGTTCCTTCAGTAATTTTATACATAACAGTACAACAGTTTCCACAATTATATTCCTGTGTGATGAAATAAATGTAACCACTTTCTTTCCTTGATGCAACACATACATACAATAAAAAATTGTAAGTTGAGGTTTACAAAAGGAAGACCACATTAAGTTGTGCCCATCTGCATCTAAGTGTGTAAATATGTTTTTTGTATTACAGAGTGTTCCAGTACTTTGCTTGTGGCAAAGTCCACAGAACACATTGTAAGTAAGTAAGTAAGTAAGTACAAATATTCTTCTGAATCCATATGCAAACAATTATGTCAATCATTTGATTCTACACATATTTCATTTAAAAGCATGAGAATGTATCCCTCTTTTAAGTAACTGTTCTTTAAACCATCTCCTTCAAGTTTTCATTTGTTTTACACAAACACATCCAGCATAAAGGGCAAGTAATAAATTTTCACCTCTAAAAGTATACATTACATGAAGCTGTTTACTCAGCACTTTCGATAGAGATTAATAAAATTCTGAAGTGTGTGGATGCACATTTTACTTCATTTATTTGAACAGTCAAAAACAGACAGGCAAGATATATGCAGACAACCCTTTACATTGGTCTTGTGACAACTGAGAATTATATAAAATAGAAAAAATCAGATATGGTGTAGAAGAAACACTAAAATTGTCTTTCACAAACAGCCAAATATTATTGCAGTACAATAACTGATTCCACATAAATTAATCTTCACTATCCTAACAACAATACAGTCTTGCCAATTCAAATTTCATATTACCATCCTTGAGACAGGTCACTACTGTAAGAATGTAAACTGCTGGTATCAGCAGTGGAAGAGGCCTTGAGTACTTCGATATCCCATATGACAAAAAATAACACAGAAGTATTAAGCAAACATCCCAAAGTGTAGGATATGGTGCTCAGGGTATGAGCTCAGCTCTCATTCAGAGGATTCTGATGTTGACCTTTGGTGAGATCAGTACACAGAATCTTCGGCTGACAGACTAAAACCTTCATCTCTACCAAAGAACTTTGGATTGTGAAGAATACAGATTCCTGCTGTCACCATGTACAGGGTAGGAGGAGGTATTAGCTTCCTCTGAAGCAATGGTGCGTATCTACAAAAGCATGTGGTGTCATATCCCAAAATCTTAATATTCATCATGTATAGTAATAAACAAAATATTTTGTGCAGCTGCAGAGTACATTAGGTATGTACAAGACTAATGAGAGAAAGAAACATAAGCATCTTTTTTTAGAACCAGTCAAGCATGACAGTATTATCTTAACCCCTCCATATACTGTATGTAGAGAGCCCAAGGTAAATGATGGATGGACGCAGTTCCAAAGCCGGCTTAACAGTGCAAAATGCCTCAACAGATAGCATATGAAGAGGCTAGTATGTGCCTGGCTGAGTATTGACTTTAACTTTAAATGGCTGAGACAAGAAGTTAATTGTGTCAAAAGGGTTAGCAGTTCAGCATATCCAATGAAATACTAATCCCTTGTTAGATTCAGCAAGCCACAAAATAATCACTTCAGTAGCAAGAGTTAAGCAGGACAAAACACATGATTAATTAGAGTGCATGCCAAGACTTCCAACAATAGGATTGCTTCTTGTGAATGGATGTATATAACGAAAGCCTCTCACCGAGTTTAGTAGAAGACTGTGACCTCAACAGTAAACTACTCAGTTACCAAAGGCCATCTATTATCATGTTACAAAACTAGTACAACAACAACAAAAAATCAGTATCACCTTGCTTCCTACAACCAAACACATCAAACCCTGAGATACATGTCTCAATTCCTGGCAGAAGTTTCGAGTACCACCACTGATCCAGTCCTAATGGATATCCACATATAAGCATTCTTGCATCCCACATCTGCCTTGGATATGACAGAGAGCTGTGTCTAACTAGAATATATTATTTTAACCCTTTGAAAATATGTTAATCCTTCATTAGTTCCTCAACCATTTCACCCCTGCATTCCATTATTTTCCTCACTTAAGGTCATATATCAGACAATCTGTGGTCATGGCATGGTTTCATGCTAGGGGCACATTTATTTTTTGTATGCTACATCTGTAGCAGTATTTTAACTATGGAAATTTGGATTTCTAAAGACAAGAGTTGATGAAGCTGAAGCTATGTAAACTAAATTTCATTTATATAAAAAAACTGAAAAATCCTTTTGATGAAATGGCCTGCCAGTCTAGGATAAGGTTTAAAGCCTGGTATGGCAGAAGAAATATTAATAGTGTAAGTGGCAGTAAAATTCCTATAATTGGAGATAAGGGCAAGTTATTCCTTGAAAAAAAGAGGAAAACTTGGGAAGCTGACTTTAATATACTCATGTGATAAAAAGTAATAAATGCAGCTCCATGATCTAACAGCTTCTTTCTTAGAGCATAGGACTGGTTTTTCAAATCTTTGTAAAAAATTTGGCTGGCAAAAAGTGATAAACTGCTGCACCAAGGGTTGAAACACTTTCACATAGTGTATGACAATCCAAGACTTCATAGTCCTGTTAGTAGCTATTCAATTTTACTTCCATTACAGTAGCAAGCAAATATGGTAAACATAATGTTATTTGTTCCAAAATGGTGGACTGTAAAGTCAAAGCATATTGCATCAGCAAATAAAATTTCTAGTTAACATATTTCATGCAGTGAATAAGATTTTAGTCAGAAATACGTGATACTTAAAATTTTAACATCTCAGATGTTGAGTATGAAAATGAAAATTACTGTCATGCCTTGACTTTAAAGTTAACTATTTGTTTATATTAATAGAATTATAAGCAAGACAAACAAACAAACATACAAAAGACTTTGTTCTAAATTCAATTTAATTCAGAAAGGATTAAAACTGCAGTCCCTCAACTGACCTTCCTATATTCAATGATCAGTAACAAAATAAATTGTCTTCATTTCTCCTGAACTAACCTTTAACATGCAGCAGTTATGCTGCTTGAACAGTAAAACACTATCTCACATGGTAGTTAACAGCCAAACAACTATGTGTCAAAGGTTGTTGCTTTTTGTTCAGAGCTGGCAAACATCGTATCCTATTGTACTGAAAGGATGACAGTCAAACATCTGTTTCAAAAGTTGGTATTCTTTGTCCAGAGCTGGAAAATATCACATTCTGTTGTACTAACAGGTTGACAGTCAAATAGCTTGTGTGCGCGTGTGTGTCAAAGGTTGGTGCTCTTTGTTCAGAACTGGTATACATCATGTTCTATTGTTCTTAAGAGCTGGTAACTGTATGCGTCAAAGGTCAGTACCCTTTGTTCAGAGCTGGCAAACATCAGATTCAGTTTTAACACACTGACAGTCAAACAACCATGTGTCAATGATTGGTGCTCTCAATTCGGAACTGGCAAATACCACATTTGGTTCTCCTAACAGGGTGATTAAATTAAACTATGGGCAAATGCCATTTATAGTTCACTGCAGCATCAGTTACTTCACAACCCCAGTAAGTGCTGAAATAAAAGTCTTACAACATACAGTGAAATCCCATTATGAATTATATCAATAATCTTCAAAGTATTTCTTCAAATAACACTGCAGAAGCAAAATGATTTTTTTTCTCATTCTTCTTTGCTGATTTTATTCAATTTAAGATCTCTATATTTAGCTGGGAAAGGGGGTTATCAACAGTGCAGCCACCAGTCTGAAGGGATGTATACTGCAACTCATTTAATATTCTCTGAACAACCACCAACTTGAATATTGAAAAGCAGAAAACCCCCAATTTTAAAGATGTTTAGCAGATATTACTGTGCTAGGAATATATCAAATGAATGCTGAAATGAGGAGAAACTGTACTACAATGAAAACATATCTCCTTTCAGATGTTCCATATAACTAAACTTTAGTCCAGTTATAAATTTGTACATTTTGTGAAGTTTCATTCTCAGCTACCAGCATCTGCCAAGACATTGAAACTGTAACAAATGGCTGCCTAGTTCAGATCTATATTGGTATACAGATAGGATTCTGCTGTACTAAATCAAGTGGATCACAAAGCAGACACCAAATAGTTTTGATCTGTTTGACTGTGAACTTCAATCTCAGCTCTACCTAAAATGTTTGATATTTTTGACAGAAAAAAAGATGCACATCAAGAAGAAAAGGATACACAAGTAAATCCTTATTACAGGTATTACAGGTAACATTTTTACAGGAAGACTGATTACCATGTCTCTTAACCTGAGGATTCCATGATGAGAAAACAAAAGAGTTTCAAATGAAATAAAACTGAAAAACATTCTGAAATATGATTTAGTGCTTTCCTCAAATTAACTGATAGCTTTATGTCTCATGTCACAGTGTTACCACTCTCAGCATAATATCTTTTATTAATGTAAAATATAACAAAATAATTTCATAATAGATGCATTAGGAACTATGAACTTTATTAAGTGGTAACGTGACACATATACGTAGTTTCATTATAACATATTAGTGCCTACAGTTCCGAGGACAATAGACATATGTCATAATGTGATTTCACTCTATGTATCTGTTTTTAAATATACAGTAAAACACTATATTTATCAATAATAAACTTTTAACAAATAAATGTTTGTAACAATACAAGCTGAGGAATATAAAAGCATGGTACTACCTAACACCTTCAGACGAATAAATACACCAAATTGATCATGTACTCAAAGACATTATATAACAATTGGAACGTGATAAAAAATACTAAAACTTAAATGCATATTAATTCATAACAATACCACTTCTCATTATTTGTCATTTTTGGTCTTATTTTCATGTCATGAGCAAAATCCAAATTGCAGCAAAAGAATATGCACATTGCTTTGTTCATTTCATTCACTATACATTCCATAATCAAACATGAATTTAAACTTAACAAAGTATAAACTATTCACTAATAAGTAACAGTTCAAAAACATATATTATCAGCTTTAAAAACACAAACAAATGAATCACTAATTATATTAGGCCCAAAATAAAATGCTGAATTGAAAACTTTTGGTCTTTCTTCTGTTTGTGACCTGTATGAATGTAATATTTAATTTGGATCCTTTAAGGATCAAAAAATAAACAGTGTAACAAATGAGTAGTTATGAAGAACATGGAATGAAAAATTATCTCATTACAATATACTTTCAGGTGGAATGTAAAGACAACTTAACAACACACTCAAAACAATTATATATTCTTCAAAGGGCAGACAAAAAATTGTAATATGGAAGCCACACTATGTACTCCAAACATAACTGAATAATGCCTCAAATGAATATGTCAAATTTACTCTAAAATGATTGGCACCAGATTTTATTCAGTCAGAGAAATATGAGATACTACACTCAAGATGTAGTATTATATTAAACAGGCAGCTTATACATTTAAATAACTGAATAAGAAATGTCCACAGTTTTCTTCAGTCATCACTTATTAATAATGTTTAAAGATTTCCACTGTCTAAGATGATCTGCATACCCAGAACAATTTAGTCAAGTCGTACATGAACTGGTTGGTGTTTCAGTGACTTTTGGTTATAGAAAAACAGTAAATTAATTGCAAAAATAATACTGAATGATAAATGATATAAGTCTTTGCACAGTAAATGGAGAGGCCTGTCAGTTAATTATCATGGACTGCACAAAACAGCCATCCTGACATCTACTTGGAGAAACTGAAGAAACCCATACAAAGATCTCAGGACAGCTGGTTGTTGGCTAGGACTCAGATCTAACATAAGGCAGGAACAGTGTCCAATACACCATGATGCTAAGTTCCAAAAGACAAGCATGGTTCAATCTTGGACAGACCATATATTTTAATGCATGCTAACCATATCCAAATTTTCATTCACAAATGCAGTAATATAAATTACTTTATAGGAAATGTGGCAGTTTTAAATACAGTGAGAATTACTGAGAAAAATACTTCCGTGGAGAAACGACCTTTCTATTCCTCTGCCAAATGAATTGTCATAATTCAGAATTATGTAGATAAAACTATCACACAGTGCAATAATTTATTTTGAACATATAATTATGTATATTCTCATTAATAACTATAAAGATTGCTCTAAGTGTAACAAACTTTTATTTATTTGTATATTATACTGCTTTCATGTTCTTGTATTCTGTTAGTAATGAACTTGTTTAACGGCTTTGGAAAAATTTCATCAATTTTCAATTATATTTCCCTAAAGTCACAGAACCAGTTCTGGAACTCCCAAATTATTTCACTACGTAATACAGCCTGAAATTTGCAATAAATCTGGTCCCAAACGTGTATAAATGTTTTAAATTTATAAATGTTTATCCAATAATAATTCACTCCAAAAGCAATTATTCTCTAAAAATTTGCATTCAACTCTCAGAAAGAAGAAGAAGAGGTGAAGATGGAGATTGGAATGTTCTTCTTACAACACAATTTTATAAAATGTATGACAAGTTTAAAAAAATCCCTTATTTTCACTTAAAATGTGCAAGTATTTAATACAATCCCTGCTTTCCTATAATTCTGCTACTGCCATATAATACCCCTGAACAGAAACTGTATGGATCATGGCTAGGCTCTGGGAACTAAAGATTTATGAAATTAAATATTCACAGTGAGAAACTTCACTTGAAATGAATTACAGAAGCATACATAATGGAAGTATACTACTGGTCCTCATTATGAGTTAAGAATCTAGTTTTAAAAAGTCTTCAATGTCTGCAGTCTTTCTCACTACATATAAAGGAATGTAAAAACATAATGTTTACATTGTACCAAATGCTAAAAAAATAGAGATGTATTAAATCAGTTTCACAAAATGTACCTAATCCAAAAGTTTTCACCCAAGATTTACTTATTTTATTGTAATTATGTTCTGTCAGTCATTATACACAGCTGCTTATATTCTCCCTTCACTACATTTCTACATTACAAAAAAATATGCAGCTGGTGTGCATACATTACACATACAATCTCAAAGACCCCTAATTTCCCTCATGACTGCAGTAGACCACTCACGATGCAGCACAACAACATGCAACACACTCCATTTTAAACAACCATTTATGGTATGACCTATAACTGACCATAAGGATGAGTGTGCTAATTTAAACTGACAGGAGAAATTAATTTTGAAGTTCACTGGAAATTATCCCTGTGCCTAACAACCATGCCAAGAAGGTACAGAGGGTGAAGAGGTAGAGTTGCATGCATTCTTAACGTCCACACTTGATAGATGTGAGAGATCAGTTACATGTTCCAGCTTTATAAATCTGGTAACAGCCCCTAAGATCCCCAGTAAATAGTAGATGAAAAGGGACATTTTTGGAATGCTTACCATAAGAAATATCCCAACACTTTTGCTGAAAACTGAACACAAACTGTTCAACCTGCAGCCCAGCACTTCTGCTGATTAAGAAGTCACACCTCTACACAGGAGATACTTGTGCATAAATGCTCTCACTTGCAAAAAAGCACTACACATATAATGGCTAGATTTCTTGGAATATGGTGTAACACAACAATAACTTTTTGTGTATGTTCTTATTACCCATTATTAAAGAAATGAAAGTGGGCCTATAACAGACTTCTGCCAAAGTATGTTAAGTTTTGCATGCTAATGGCGGTTCAAAACTACAACGTGTACCCTCAGCGAGACAATGTAGTATCAGAATTACAATAAGACACATCCAAAATAACCCAAAGTGACCAACACTTTTCCCACAGTTTCAATGCATCCTGTTGTGTTGCATAGTGGTAAACCCTACAGATTTAGTGCACAAATACATATCTAACATTCAATGTACTACTGCATGACAACATGCCGATATGGAATGACTGCCTTCAAGGCCACATTTTGTTGAACACTTCCATGAAGCTATCGTACAGCATGAATGTGATTGCAACATCCAGGCATACACGACTCAGTCGAGGAACTGTGCCCTTGTAAAACCTGCAACACAATATTTACAGTTGACATATAACAATCTGGTAGGGCACTCACTGATAATTTCATAGAATTGAAATGTATCAGCATTACAGTGCAATAAATTGTGTTGAAGTGTCAATAAAATTAATTACAATTAGATCTGGAAGAGGAATATCTTTCTACTTACGCTGCAACTCCTTCGTTTTGGAACACTTTTATAGCACAATCTAAGGTATTCTTGTACCTTTTGGCTTCCAAACCCTACAACAAAACAAAATCATTTTATTATTAAATCACTGTCGACTAACATTGCCTCTGCCATACATCTCAAGAGCCATTTTTAAATTTGTATATAGATAGTGCTTATTTCATCTTGTCACCAAAAGGCTTAAATATACTACCACAGTCAATAAGTTCATGGAATGGTTGCAAAGCGTCATATGGGAATTTATTGCCAATATGTTTCAGCAATGTTTTTAACAGCCACATCAAAGGTGGCAGAATTTCATAGCGGCCAACGGCAACTACTCTGAGGGCCGATGTGGAGCTGCATAAGTGTATGGGAATACCTTGTTATATGATGCGATAAAACCACATTCCACGAACTTAATGACTCTACCACGTATATACTATATTTACCTATGCTCAAGAATAAGAGACAATATGCCAAGACATACATTTTCATTCATTTCTTAGGTAAAATTACTGGTAGTAAAGAACTCTTAATAAATTTCTGCTAAAATGTAACTTTCCCAGTAGAACATTTCTGTGTTATGCCCCAAAGGTTATGTACAAGTATATATGTTTCTTTTTGGGTAAGTTTGGAATAAGTGCATCTAGACTTTAAGATTAAGAAATAGAAATAATGAAACGTACCAGGAAGCTTGGGTTTGCAAAGAAGTGTAACAGGCAATTGCTTTGTAATCAGAATGTTAGCACGACAGGTAATAACGCTGACATTGAGGAAGAAGCTATATGAAGTGGGTCATAAAAACTATGGCATGAGGAAAACGCTGAGTCGGAGAGGGCGGTAGACCTGAAAGAGCCAACCCCCTTTCGATAAACAGCCAATGAGTGGGCCACACCAACCCAAAATCACGTCAGGATGGGCGGGTGAATACACCCCCGGAACCCAGCGAGTCAGCAAAAAGAGGGTACATAAACTCTAGAGGAATCAATCAAAAAAACTCATCATTATTAATTGATACAGAGTTCAGCCGTAGGCTATCGCCGAGAGAGTGATGGCGATGAGTAGTTGCTGATTGGTGATGGCGGCCTGTCTCCTCAGCTCGATTAAGTAGACTTCCTTCATATAAGCTATGAACATTAAGTGTGATAATATTAAAGTGCAAACCCCAAGGAGAGAAAGTGAAGACTAGATGGACTAGGTTTACTGAGAAAGAGAGATAGAGGGATAGGATACCCAATAGCAGGGTGACAGGAGTAGAACTAATGTGTGTGCTACAGGATAATAACCCACGCGTAATGCGAACTGACAAACGTCGGCAATTTGTGTATCTATTATGTATATAGTGACACAGGTGAATAGAGTAGGATAGAAATGCACTGTGATGTTAATTGAACCTAGCATTCCCTCAAGTGTTATCGTCTTCCCTGCCAACTCCAGCCTCCCTCCGAATCCTCCAGGAGAATTGCAAACTCAAGCCAAGGCGGCAGATACGTCAGTGATTGTAAATTTACCTGAGCCCCTCCCTAAGACTTAACAAGATGGTGGCAGCGGCGGGACACCTCCACGCCCCCCTGTCACCACGACAGAACATTCTGTTTCAACATTCTATTCTCTCTCTTCTTTGGGAGCTCTGACAATATAAATTTCTTGCTTATATCATTTGTTGGCACTCATGTGAGTTACATTTGCAGTTTCACAATGATATCACATGTAATGACCACAAACAATGCTAAAACTAGACAAGCTTGTCATCTGCTAGCAATGGGTTAATTATGTACTGACAAAGCTTCACGTTTTATAGTGGCAAATAAAACATGAAGAAGGGAAATGAAATCAGATCTGTGCCAACAGGAAGGGATACTATTATGCTGGAGGTAGAGTTAATGTCTCATAATATCATATGATTTTTCATTTCCATAAAGTTTTCACTCCAAAAAATTTACTAGCTACTTAATATGCATTAAAGTATGAGTGTCCATATTTGTTGCTGGTCATATAACCATCAATAAACTTAACATGGCCAGTGAATCTCCTCTCCCATGTTTACAGGTATTTGCTTCAAAGCCAAACTTATGGAGTTACCCATATGCGAAACAGGGGAGCTGGTGATCTCATGGTTTGACTCTTGACTATATTTTAGTGAATTCTGAGTTCAATCCATGGTCTAATCACCACACGGGTTTCTCTGCTTACAGAATGAAACCTTCACCTCCACCAATAACAAAACTCTGAGAATGTGTATAACATCAGTATTCAACATATTTGCATATGAATAAAATGACAGAGCAATAGTCAATGTCTGTAAAATGTCTATTCACACTGTATTCGTTTTGAAGAAAACTAAATTTAAGTGAACAGTACATCCATCTTACATTATTTACAGAGCTACCAAATGATGCTTCTTTTTCTCTTTCTGTTTCTAACTTTCACGCATTCCCTGTTCTTGTCCTGCTGAGATATCAATCATTTATGGTGCCTTTTTTCCCAATTCTTTTCCTTCCACCACTTCATAAATTTCTTCTAACCACTGACTTTCCAAAAAATGTACAGTGAAATACTTGTTTTAAATATCAATGTTCTGCCACTTTTTATAGTATATGACCTTATTATAAATGAATATTTTATTAGGTCCAACACAATTTACGCCTTTAGGTGGCACAGTTCAACTCCCTGGTTCTACACTCTAGCATTCTAATAAAGTTGTATATTGTAACATAAAAGGATGCATGAAATGAAGATTATAAATGTATTTCTACTTCACTCTCATTCTTTCTTACCAACTTTTACAATTTCTCTTCATCCATAACAATTTAATCATTTATGTTCCTATTTTCTGCCATTATTCTTTATTCTTGCATCCTATTATTTTTCTAATACATTCCACTCCCATACTTCTTGTCCAAAATCTCATCCTTCCAAATCTTTGTTCCTTCATATCTCAATATGTGACTCCAATCTTTCTCTTTGCTACATACAGGGTAAATCCCCATTCACTGTTCCTCCTAACACCATTCAGTCTCCAGATTCATATTTTCCACAACACTTTTCCTCTTCTGGGTTCCACTGCACATTATTGTGTATAAACCTCCTTCTCCCCACTGCTCCTTAAACTATTATACAGTCTCTCTCCCTCTCCTCCCTCAACCCCCCTCTCTCTCCATAACTTCCATGTTCTTTCTATCCATACATCCATTCCCCCCCCCACATCTTCTCTGCTGTCTCAGTGCATCTCCTAAGGAATCTGTCTCATCAGTTTCCAAAAATCTTAACCAGTATGTCATTAGTTTCGCCTTCATATCTGTCCTCCCTCATTCCTTCACACAAAAACCATTTCCTCACATCACTACTCTTTTACAGAACTACTCATGCACTTTCCTTATTTCCTTCTATCCAATCTCCAGACCCCAAATTTCGAGCTCTTCCTTAACTCCACTGGCAAAGAACATAATTGCTCTGGTTCTATATTTGGCATACCTCCTAAACATACAATATTATTCAATGTTAATTTCCCCTCAACTGCTACCTGTTTACTTTTTCTTCCCTCACTTTCTTCTACTGTCCAGGATTACACCTGAATATTTAACTTTATATGTAACCTCTGTTCCCAGTCCCCATTTTTCATTCTTACTTGATTTTCCTCCCATCTGAAACACTACTCTCTCTCTTCTTTTTTTTCTGCATTTATCTTCACCTTCCATTCTTTGCAAAATGCATATATACAAATAAATAAATACTTTCGTTTCATACTCAGCCGTCTGCAGACTGATATTTCTTAGCTTAAAAAAGAAATTGAGGATATCAGATGGACTCCCAACCTTATAAAAACAGAGATAGGAACACTCTTTGGCAAAAAGTCTTCAGCAAGTTTCATTATACTTTATGTTACACCTTTCCTCTGCTGTTTCAAAAATCATTAATCATACCTGCATCCTTGTTTTGACAACATCAATGGGTGTGTTGCCGAACACTGAACAGGCACCAGCGAAAGCACCAAATACTCCTGTTACAAGAGTAGGAATAGGTTTCTTGGGGTCACCCCCTCTATACAGGTCCTTGCACGTTTCCATCACAAAGAAGCGGATAGCCTGGTTGCTACCTTGCTTTAATATTGTGGCTGTTACCCCCTTGTACAGCCCTCCAAAGCCTGGGAAAAGAAAGCAGAGAAGCAAGCATTTATACAAAAGAACTCACATTTTCACATACAAACAAGTGAAGACTTCAAGTCATGACACAACTGGAGTATTTATATTTTAATAGTTGGAGCACTTAGAGGGAAAGAACTGAGTAACTCCAGCTAGCTACATCCTTCCTGAGGAACCAACAGCCACTCAGCTAGCCACAAAATTCCAAACTTTTATGAAATTTGAAGGATTTTTGTAGTATGTTCAAAAGACCCCATCAGTGATCCCTATCCTGAACTAGATGAACCTGGCTGAGACAGTCACATCCTGTTTATATAAGATTCATTTTAATATTATCCTCCCATCTATAAGGGAAAGTCTCCCAAATGCTGCCTTCCTTGTAGATTTTTGACTAAAATTTTGTACAGATTTCCCATCTCCCAAAGCATGCTATATGCTACTGGTGTCAATAATTTCTCATGTGGCACAGGATTTAGCAATTATTCCTGTAGTTCTCATCAGTTTTCATAAGTAACTCTCACAGTGTAATATCAACAGATACACATACCTCTGAAATATCACTAATTTAAGGTGTGTTCAAAAACACGGTTGCAGAAATCTGTGACAAAATATTTGGCTTTCTGGGGATGTCTGATGCAGCCAGGACTGATTGCATTATATGACTAACACCTCTTCCACCCACGCTACTAGGTCAATAAACAGCAAAGAACATATTCTAGAATGGAGGATGCCATGCATAAGACAAAAAATATGATGTAAATAATTGCAATGTGTTGTATTTTGTTACTGCTGAAAAACCACTTCAATTTAGAGCAAAAATAAGTAACTGTTTAGCCATATTTTTTTCTGTCACACAGTATAAGGCAAATTCTGAACTTCAAGAGTATGAAAAAGCACCCAGTTCAATTGACAACAGTTTCTGTCTGTGGATCATCAACTGTTCCTTTCTGGAAAGTAGAGTGCACAGTCACAAGGCCCAAATGTGTCCTAGAACATTGCAGATTAGGTGTCAGCTGTGTCTTCACAACAATACTTTCACTAAATCCATTCTGATACCATAAATCTGCATTTACAACAATTTCACAGGTATTCAACATATAAATTACATATCTGCTCATTAAACTTAATCATAATGGAATAGGGTGTTCCAACTAGTAATGGTATTAAAATTAGAATACACAAAACTATAGTTTTTCCAGTGGTTCTGTATGGGTGTGAAACTTGGTCTCTGACATTAAGGGAGGAAGGTAGACTGATGGTGTTTGAGAACAGGGTGTTGAGGAGAATATGTGGACCAAAGAGAGATGAAGTGACAGGAGGTTGGAGAAAACTGCATAATGAGGAGCTTCATAGCTTGTACTCTTCATCAAATATAATTAGAGTGATCAAGTCAAGGAGGATGACATGGGCAGGGCATGTAGAATGAATGGGGAGAAGAGGAATACTTATAGGATACTGATGGGAAAGCCAGAAGGAAAGAGATCATTAGGAAGAGCAATACATAAGTGGGTGGACAATGTTAAAATGGCTCTTAGAGAGATAGTGTGTGATAGTATTGATTGGACTGATCTGGCTCAGGACAGAGATCAGTGGAGGGCTTTTGTGAATATGGTAATGAACCTCCAGATTCCATAAAATGCTGGGGAATTCTTGAGTAGTTGCACAATTGGCAGCTTCTTCAGAAGGGCTCAGCTCCGTGAGTAAGAAAGTAATGGTATTAGTACTGAAAAAATGTTTATCTTCGAAACTATGGCTGCAAAAACATTCAAGTAAACAGTACTTCAAAGAAAACACATTGCTGAACTCTATAATTTCCTTTTAGTGATGTAAAAATCAGCATTTTTAGAAATGTTTTAAAATTTCCTGACATAAAACAATTACAAATACAAGGTGTAACTGAAAGGTGCAGACAAACTTTGGCACAAGTTCCACATACCAAAACAAGAAAAATGTTCATATCAATGTGTCCAAAACTACTAGCAGATGTCCCACTGGCAGTTAGAGCACGAATGTGGGGCATGCAAGATGGTGCTCCAGCACATTTTTCCTGTGCTGTGCAAGATGTTAACTCTTTGACTGGCGCGGGCGTGTTTTAACGCCAGGGCGATGCCAGCCGTTCCCTGGCGTTGGCGTGTTTTAACGCTTTGAAAATCTCTTCCCTTATTTGCTCTCTTGGCTCTCTTCAACCAAAGACATATATATGATAGTTTTTGTGCATGGTTGTAAAGAACCCTTGTAAACTTTGTGGGGGTCTATATTACTGTCAGAACCCTGCGAGAAGGAAAAGTTCAAAAAATATTTCACATTCATTCAGTTTCACCATGGCTTCTCGCAGCAAGTGTCGGCATGTTCCTACAGACCAGCTGGAAAGTGTTGTGAAGGAGATTTGTGCTGATGATGATAGTGGCGATGAAATAATGATTCCTGAATTGAATGAAGTTGATAGTGACAATAGTACAGTGATAGACAATGATCCACAAGACAGTAATCATGAACATTTAGCTACCACGAGTGCGGTGCCTGACACGCCCATCTCATGGACATACGGAGACATTGTACCAGTNAGTTATGCAATTAAACACTACAACATGAAGATGTGGGGAAATGGAGGTATAGCTCCATCATTCTTTACCTCAGTACCAGATGACGTGAGTGGCCAGTTTTCAATTGAATTTTTTTTTTAATTTCTTGGGATGGGGTACAACTGAGTCTGCTTGGTATGTTGGCCAACAATTGGCCTATTGCACCAGCCCTGGATGACGATGATGATGACGAGTGTGAAGCAGTCGGTGGAATAAAATCTTGCAGGGGAAAAGGTTGTACTTAGAGGAAACCTGCCCCAGTGTCACTTTGTCTACCACAAATCCCACGTGACCTGACCTGGGATCAAACCCTGGCTGCTGCAGTGGAAAGCTGATGACAACCTGAGCTATGGCATGGCCACAAGTGGTCGGTTTCATGCCCCGATTGTTTTACCCCTGGGAAAAGAGCCCCTGGTACCCACTAGACAGGAGGCTTGGTAGACAATGAGCCAGTACTGACCCTACAGAGAAGAGAAAAATCTCTTGCCCCTACCAAGGATTGAACCATGGCTGTCCAGCCCATAGCTCATCACTATACCGACGACAACATCCTAGCTCCCACAAATATCCTTTTAGTTATCAAAATCTGGATTATAAGCAGGTTATGTTACGTTCTGTTGTAAGTAGCACTATAAACCACTCCTGCCCACTAGCGTAGAAACACTACTCAGATACGTCTGCGGTTTGTAATATATGATAGGCTCACTGGTCTATCCTCCCCCTAAAGACACACAACTGCCCTACCATCTATTCAGTTACAAATGTGTGAGGAAACTTTTATTTATTCCTCATTCAAAGTTCCCATAGCTGGCAAGACCTTGACCAAACATAAAATGACCATTCCTGACTAAGACTCAGCTAATGTTCATAAATAACTCACAGCAGGAAAGCATAACATATATCTATACATAATATTTCAGAAAATTTCAGTGTCATAGCTGCTATAAGCTGGCTGAAATAAAAGGGCACTTTTGCTTCACAGTACCATAACGATTGTCCAGCTGGACCTTGGTTCTGCCATTACAGTGTGTGGTCTGCAGCTTTAAAAGGATTAGTTGCCGGCTGAGCTATTTTGTACTTGAACTATTCTCTTCTGGATGCCTAAGAGGATATTAAAACTCTTTCATTAATGAACAAATAACTGTACCTTCATCTTTAACAATTACTGAGCAGCCATGAAAGAATCCCCTAAATCTTGGGTTGGCAGACCTCCGATCATTGATGAATTTCACTTTGACTGTTTCCATAGGGGTAACAGCAAAAATGGCCTCACAAACTCCAGCGCCCAAACCACACAGCATTCTGTCCACAGGACGGAGGTTCCCCTTGTCATCCACTGTAAACTTCTTGAATGTCTCAAATGCACCAAACCTAAAGCATGAACAATAAGATATATAATCTTCAAAACAAATAATAAATGCAACAGCAATGCATTTGTTTTTTGGCAATAAACTATAGCCGATTACTACTTTTTAATAACATACTTTGCCTAATTTATGTATACATTTATTTTTTTAACTACTGTATTTTAGCAATAGTTAAATTTTGAATTTGCGAGATTGCGTAAATCTTCACGCTTTGTATTACGCAGCTTACAATTCAGGGGTTCCCCCTCTGTCCAGTAAGGCATGATGCAAGCTTCATAAGCAGTTAGCTCAGTATTTCCCAGGGCAGAGCCAATCAGAAACACTAGTTACTAAATGACATCATGCTAGCAGCCAGCTAGCTTCTTGGTTCTAAAGAGACAAGTCTCAGCTCTAAAACCTGTAAGATGCGTGAAAGTGTCGCTCCCTACAATGGGAACAAAGGACTGCATTCAGTCACAACTAAGTGTTATTAACAATGTAATTTCATAAATTACAATAAAGTGTAAGTGTTCATGAGTTTGTCGTTGGTTTTGTTGACTGCCTTGCTGACACTAAGGCCCAAGTAACGAACTGAAGAAAGTTTCATGTTCCCAACTGAGAGGGGCCCAGGGCTTCATACTTTGGAACATAAAGAGTCATTCCAGCAACCAAAGGTGAGGCAACGTCTCCGCCTGATTCGTCAGAGCCACTACAAGGCGACTCTTGGTGAGCAGCTGCGTCCACCTTAACTCTGTGTGTAAGTGTATAACGGTAGTAAGGTAGTACAACACGTGGCTCCAGTGTCTCAGCGACAGTTATAAAACCACTTTATTATTGTATAACTGAAATGGAGGTTGTCTGGACTCACTTCATACTACTACTTCTGTTACTCATACATGCCATATGTAACTCAGACATAAAATGGTGGCTAAATATGCTAGAGTACTGACTACACAGAATATCAGTTCCTTTTGAAAACCACAACAAAACCTGAAGGTTCTGCAATGTGTTGGTTACACCACAATCTAGTAACTGAGAACAAACAACAAAACTTGAATCATAATTATAGATGCATCCATTCAAATTTCTTGGACCAATCCACTGGAATTTAAAGAGATGTATGAGAAATTGTACACCTTGAAAAATAACATATACTGGACAGAAATCATTCCTTAATGAAAAGAACCAAAATGAACTCACTACCACAGCACCTTATCAAGCAGAAAGCATTTTAACTCAAATCTCAATCAGTAACACCAAGACTGTTAAAGAATGTGGGCTGACAGTGTGCAATACACTGCCCTCATACACCCAGCACACTAAACAAATTGCTAATGAAGCAGGAAGACTACAATTATCTTATTCAACTCATGACAGAAGTGTGGAACATGTCAGAAGATTCATTTTCAGCGCTAAGTGCTGAAATGCAATACTATGATTAGTATTATCGTGTTCTTGACTCTTCAACAGGCTTTTCATAAATTTCACAGTATTATTTGTAAGATATAATGAGCTCTACATTATGGGCAGTAAAGGATAGGAGAAGTAGCATGGCTAATTACAGTTAACCCCTACTAACTGCTGTCCTGCTAATCAACAACTTGATCTATTAACACTCTAACATCATGTCCAAATACCCAAATAATTGTCATTTCCCAGTCAACTGATGATCATGCAATGTAAGCATGTATTGACAATGTTTACAAGCTCAGACACATCAGCCAGCCATTCTGGTGGTGTGATTGTGCAATCATATCAATGTAAAGTAAAGTAAAAAAAGTAAAGTTATCCCTGTAACAGGCCGTGAAGGCCCATAGGGTTGTGAGATGTTGAGGGTCCCACATTATCTAGACAATCGGCTCAAAGATGGTGGTAAGGTTGTCAGCCTTAAACGCCAGCCGCGCCTTAATCCCCAGGAAAATTATTTAATTAATTCCTGGTACTCATTTCTGTTAGAGGCTGAGTGGACCCCTGGGCCATAGTGCGGCTGGAAGGTGTAGGTCAATTGATGAAATTATGGCCCATACAATTAGAAGCAAAATAAATGTTAAAACTGGGTATCATTAACCAACAAATCACTGACAATGTTTCATGGAACCAATTAACTTCGATTAATGAGGGATGGCTGCAAACAAAGGACAATCTAGAAATATGGAAATACCCAATATTCACATTGCATTCAAACCTGAAAATCATTCATTTACGTTTTTCTAGCTATTTCCCTGGTGTCCTAGAACTTCACCACACTTATATTAATTAGGTATACAACAATAATAATTCAATTTGGTTCAATTCTTTATTTATTTACAATTATTTACTCAACAACCAAAAGGCCAATTATAAAACAAGCACAAGCAAAGAGACAAACAAAGCAAACACATGTGTTGTTTGATTAGTGCAATCACACCAATCATGATGCAGTGAGAAGTATGTATATGCATACATACATTAATCCTGAGTACAATTAATAATTAAGAAGTACATCATACAAAACATTATAAGAAACACTTTTGGTTCCAAATACATCAACATCCCGATCCCCACTAACAACATTAGCAGCTGAAGTTCATCTAGCATAAGGACAACTTTCACTAGAAAAGCAGACATTAATCACTGAAAATTCTGATGTACTGAGCAGAACCATTATTGTTGTTGTTGTTGTTCACTGGTATGCTTTTGGTGGAACTTCCTCCTTCAGGCTTCTACATTATTTACAGTTCCTGTTTTTCCACTAGTTTTCTACCTTAAAATACAAAGGGCTAAATAACACTACAGGCTAAATCTCAAGGAAATAAACAATAAGAAAAACTGCACCAAATAAACCTAAATTCAATGTGGAAGGCTGAGGAACACTTTGCCACTAAAACTGAAATTAAGTATCTTATTACATCTACAACAAAGCAATGTAATTAAGCTGTTAAGTATGGTATGAAAACTCTGTGTGCAGGTAAACTCTGTAAAGAACCGCAGACTGTAACATCTACTGGTCATGCTATTACTCACAGTCACTAAGCACTGAGGTAAACATCTCTGCAACAGAATAAGCAACCTCTGATCGGTGGTTACAGGCCCTCAATAAAAGCAAAACAGAATCTTGCAACAGGGTAAAAACATATACAGCCAAAAATTGCTGTAAAGTGTTACTGACATGTCACTGGAACAGATGTAATGGGCAACACTTATCATTATGGGACCCTACTATTAATATCCAAGAGTAGGTGGTTATGACAAACTCTGTCTTCCGGGATATAACGCTGTGCAGTCTGCTGAAAGTCAACCGAGCAAAGTAGAGGATCTGCTTGCTGACTGCTTCATGCTGGCTTCTTATTTGGCTTACTCTTCCACCCTGAAAGCAGAGGTAATAATGCCAGTCAACTTTCACTGGACTGCATGGAAATATATGCCAGAAGACACATCTCTTCATAGGTACCACTGTGAGAACCTCAAATCCAGGCAAGATTAAAACATTTTCCTTCTGTCCCTCCAAATAAATGTTGGGGCAATACTGTGATATGAAGGCTCTATGCCAGAACTGGGGAGCCAGAAGAGTTGGCTGTTGCTAATCCAGCCAAGATTTAAATTGGATTCCTCCATTCCTCCAAACATACGCTGGACCAATACTGTTATATGAAGGCTCAAAGCCAGAACTGGGGAGCCAAAAGCGGTGGCCACTGCTATGGAATGGTTCTGTAAACATGTTTCCATGGCAACCAAGCCAAGTGACTGCAGAAACAGATACACACGCAACAACATAGGAACTTTTGGAAGCAATGTATGTTGCTGCAGTCTGTGCCAATGTTATATATGAAGAACATAACAGACACAAGATATCAACTACAAAAACCACAATGTTCAAGTATAAATACAAAATACCTGGCCTGAATCATTTATTAAACCATAAGAGAATGCTCACAAAATTATGGCAAGAAACAAGGGGTTGAGCATGCAAAATGGCAGTAAACTGGGCCACTCAAAGTATCAGGGTGGTCTGGAAAAAGGTACTTTAAAGATGGGGAAACAAAGTTGGCAAACTGTAAAGTCACACCTCAAGCAAATGGCCTATTGCAAAAATCCCTCTCAAAAAGGGGTCAACCAAAGGCACCATCTACAATTCTTGGTCCCACAGGCAAAATTTTAACCAAATAAAGCCAACATAAATTGCAGACTGCTCAGAAAACCAGTTCAGAGCACATGTTGTGCGACTGTGGCCACACATGACATGTGGAGGCTCAAGATAAAGCCCTGCTGGCTACTATCGACAAAGACATCCCCGTAAATTTTCAACCATATAAGGTCTCAAAAGAAGTACAAACCTTGAAATTAGGAAAGGCCTGTGTGTTTTATAGCATTCAAAATGACTGTCTCCAGCATCTTCCAAGACCTCTTTTGAATTCAACAAATTTATTCAAGCACTGCCTTCTGCTTGGTCACTACCCAGAACTTTGGGAGGAGGCAAAAATCATACCTCTCCTGAAAAGCCTGGCACAGACTCAGAATTTCCCAAAATTTATGTCCAATCAGCCTCTTGACCACTAAGGGCAAACTATTTGAGAAGCTGACTTTAAAAACAATCCAAGAACATACTGAGGAATGAAACTTACCAAATGCAAGTCACTCTGGCTTTCAAGCATTCACAATATGACACCCCAATGTATGAGGCTGGCAGATCACATTGCTCTGAATTTCAACAATAATATTTCAATGGCTGCTGTGTTCTTGAATATCGAGAAAGCCTTAGACTCAACAAGGCACTCTGGCATGCTATATAAATTGTCAGAATTAGAATTTTTGCCAAGTTTCATTAAGGTAATTGCCTCTTTTCTCACTGACAAAAAGATTGAAGTCTTGGTAGATGGTAAATGTTCTATGCCAAGAGAAATAGTGGCAGGGGTTCCTCAAGTTCCTTCCTTGCCACAATACTGTGCAGTCTATACACAAATGATGCCCCCGTAGCACCTGGAACTCATCTTACTATGCTGGTGGACAACACCTGTATTTAAGTGACGGGAAAACATGAACATTGTGTTCTCTGCAAACTGCAATGTGGGCTCACTGCAGTGAATTCGTGGTGTGAGCGCTGGAACATAGAGATCAGTGAAGGGATATTTCAGGTGATCTATTTCTCCAGAAGACCTCGAATCCCTAACGACGTGCGAGTACTACAACTAAATGGGCAAGACATTCCCTTCATAAATAATGCAACATATCTTGGTGCCACTTTCGACAGGAGGGTGACATGGAGACACCATATCAAAAAGACTCTAGCCAAGGCCTTGCGCACATATGTATGATCATATACTCTATTCAGCAGTGGGTGCTTAAGTACAAATATTAAACTTACGATGTACAAAACTTTGATCAGGTCAGTTACGACTTATGCCTGTCCAACCTGGGAGTATATAGCAGACGTTCACATCTTGCAACTGCAGCACCTGCAGAACAGAGTATTTTGCGCTACTGGAAATCTTAACAGGTGCACACCAGTCCATGAATTGCATGTGGCTTTCAAAATTCCTTACATGTATGACTATATAAATAAATTATACAGAACACAGGCAAAAATAATCCTTAACCATGTAAATCCAAAAGTATGTGGTACAGGACAAGAAGAAGACATGAATAGGAAGAATAAGAGGCATAAACTTGGCAGTCAGGAGTACAACCATTCAGCTGGCTAACTGTAATTTCAGAGTAGTTTTAATAAATTAAGGCATTACCTGCCCCACAAGCCTGCACTGACAGGAAACCTCTGTATAATGTGTGTAAATGTTAATGTTAATGCAAATGCTTCTTCCAAATTACCCAAAACTCCTCAGTCAACTTATTTACTGAATATACAAAGGTTTTATTAGCATGGAACAAGAATATAGAAAATCACAGATTTCAGAGGTTAGGTGCAACTTGATGCTCAACACTAGTTTGTATTTCAGAATTGACACAAACTTATATACAATGTTAGTGATGATATTCAACATTATATGCTATAAGCTTATATAAATTATGAGTAACAATAATACTACTACTATTACTGGCAGTCTACTTAAAACCGGTTTCTGGTCCACTGAGAAACTGCAGCCAATGTTTTTCCCCACCCTGATAAACTGTACAAGTAATGCAGCATTATTATTAAAGCTAGAAACAATGCACACATTACAGAAAGTTCTGTAGAAAGGTGCCCCATATGGAATATCATATGGATAGTCTGCCAGGATGAGAGTTGTGTGCAGTCATCCTTACTAGACCATACTGATAGAAAACTTAACCTTCAATGTCCAAAGTGCCCCGATCGGGCCAGTGATGAGTATGGTCGTCATGGCCAAAGTACCCCATTTTGGCCAGTCGGGCATTTAAACTCCACTAGTGGATGCGAGCACACATGCTGCTAGTAGAAGCGCATGCACAGTCCTTAGTATTTATTCTTATATGTAGTAATTATAAGACAGACTTGAGTAAAATCCTAATAGAGGAATTAAAATGATACCTAGGTGAACAACAACAAAAAGAGTATACGTATGAGTTATGCCCAAACTTATCCATGAGCCAGTACTTTTATTGCAGATTCTGCAGATTAATGTGTTAAAAATATATAGTAAAATTCAATGTGCATTACTTTTTTGTTATCTGCTTGATGTATATATATGTTGAAATGAAACTACAGCATTTGATTTCACTTTGAACACACAGAAAACAGATCACACTCTGTATCTCAGCCACGATGCAAATGTCCATTCACGACCATAGAAAGGACAATAGTCTCTTGCAGCTATAACGGAAGGTCTTAGCACTGAAGAAGGGACCCCTCGAAGCTTCTTCTTGAATAGCCATGCTTTCACTCTTCTGTCCTTCAGTCAAAAGATTCGAAAATCTGAACGGTGTAACAAAGTTGTAAGGTTTTCCAGCAGAGAACCAAATGATTTTATTACTTCCATCTGTTTTATGATACCAGGGACTTCTAAGATTTGTCAAGTGTTACAAACAGAAATGAAATGTGAAGAATTGGGAAACCACTTTTGCAGTATGCATCAAAATTAAAAGAAAAGAATTGAAAACAGCGTATAATTCTTTGTATAAAAATTTTCATAATATGCAACACTATGTTCTTTGCTGATATAAACAAACTTAATTCCATCCATTTATCATAAAAATTGTGTTAGATACAGCATTTTTAAACACAATGCTTAAAATTGTTTAAGTGCCCTATCAGGAACAGACATTTAAATGCAGAGTAGCAACGGGCATTTAAATAAACTCTGGCCAGCTCAAGCTTACCACCATTTCAAAAGTCCGGCATTTAAAGGTTAATGAAGCTTATCATATCTCTTGCATTCCTAAAAATTTAGTCAAAATCAATTTCCCAAATTTTACACTGAAAGGTTCAGGGGATGTGTACCATGACTCTTTAAGCCACAACTCTAATTGGATCAATGCAGGAAGATCTAGCTCTTTCTTTCAGATGTGCAAACTCACTTCAAAAGATCCTGGCAACACACACAATTTATCAAGCATTTGCACCATATATATGAATTTACTGAGAAATAAGAAAGATATTCTTTCAATAATTTAGCATGTAAAAGTTATGGTATATCTGGAAGTTAAAACATGAGTAATATCTTATCACATCTATCCTTAATATGCTTAAATTGGAGCCAGGGAAGTCAAGGACTACCCAGAATGCTGGGAATTAGTTAATGGGCCATGGACACCACTGTAAAAAAGATCCGTCAGTAATGTACTTTGGGTATGAAAGTAAAACGAGAATGGGAAAAGGCACTCTTTGTGGTGGCATTATGAAAATGTGTTCAATTTACACACGTTACTTGTCTCTACAAATATGTGGGAACAGAAGGCCAAAATTATTAAGAACAAAAATATTTCTTGTGGTCAGACATTACTTGCTATTTTTGACAAATGAAGCAAACACCTGGACATGCCCTGAGAGAGATACAAGAAAATTATGAGCAGAAGACATGAAGTTTGTATGCAGAGTACTAAGAAACAAGGACAGATAAAGTCTGAAACCAGATTATTACATAACATTTGAAAGTAATACAAACACTCCAAGAAATGTAGGATTTCAAGTTTTCATGGCAGTAGTCTTCCATCTGGGAGATGGGAACCCAATATTTCAGAAGAACATACCGCTTCCATCTTCAAGGCTGGAGTGAAAGTGGCATGTTATATAAAACCTACACAGAGGATGGATTTGGTTTCACCCACCAAAACACTGCACCCACCTACTATACTACAACATGGTGTCATACCCAAGAACATCACAATGTGAAACCAAAGGAGGACACAGTGGTACAGACATACTATGTTACATGTGAACAAATTTACTGAACATGTCAAAACTGAAGATGTTCAATATATGACCACGATACAGTCCAAAGGCCTCATGCTGGAGAGACCAGAAAAAGGAAGATTTAGAAAAGGCACTGAAGAAAGAGTACATATGGGAGCTTAGAGAAGAGTTTGCCATTGATATGTACTTCCTGCACATGGTAAGGAAATGATAAACAAAAATTGTGCATTTTGTAAGGAGATGAGGAGCTGTGGAACCAAAACATTTTGCATGTAAACCATATGGGTATACAAACTGCAACCCCAGCATTTCACTTCAACGCCACAACAATAAATACTTCGTACCTCACAGCTGATTTTGGTATGGAGCCATATACCAAAACACTAAGGCCTCTGTACAACCCAAACACACCATGTCTCTGGACAGTTTTCTTGGTACAATCCCAGATGCCTGAGTACTGCTTGGCAGCAGTGCCAGCTTTCTCATCTAACTGTAGTTGTGTCTTCACATATTCTGTTGGATATGTGATACATATCTCAATGCCTCCTGTGATTCCACCTGGTAAAACAAATTATAAAACATTTATGAAAGTAATACTTTCACATTTGTATAACCACTCTGACTTAAAGGGCTTGCCGTGGCGGTTTAGTGGTTGGTGCACTAATCTACAAGGGCAACTCAATAAATAGGTTAAAAATGGATATAGAACTTAAACAAATAAGAGTACTGATTTGAAAAATGCTTTTATTTCTCAACATAATCTCCCTGTACATTGGGGCACTTGTCCCATCGTTTCACAAGCCCATGAAAACCAGCAGCATAAAATTCTTTGGGCTGCTGTTGGAACCAGACGTGGTCACACGGCATGGCCTACCTCACAATGCATGACAGGTTGCTTGCTTCTGTTCAATGGCCTTACGAAGTTTTCTGAGGATGTTACAGTAGGAGTCGGCATTTATGGTTGTCCTTGAGGCTGGAATGCGGTGAGCAGTATGCCTTTGTGATCCCAGAAGACTGTGAGCATCACTTTCCTGGAGGATGGTGTCACCTTAAACTTTTTTTTTTTTGGCAGGCGACACAAGATGTTTCCACTGCATTGACGGACACTTTGTCTCAGCCTGGTAATGGTGAACCCAAGACTCATCACCTGTGACAATTCGGGCCAGCATATCGTGTCCTTCATCATGGTAGCAATTGAGATGCTGTAATGCCAGACCCATTCTTTGCATTGTGTGTTGTGGGGTCAGCATGCGCAGCACCCATCGTGCATAGACTTTGTGAAATACTAACCTGTCATGCATTATGAGGTAGGCTATGCCGTGTGAACACATCTTGTTCCGACAGCAGCCAAAAGAATTTTATGTTGGTTTTCAGGGGCTGTGAAACGATGGGACAAGTGCCTCAATGTACAGGTAGAGAAATAAAAGCACTTTTCAAATCAGTACTCTTAATTGTTTAAGTTCTATATCCATTTGTAACTTACTTATTGACTTACCTACGTAGTGTTCAAGAGGTCTGAGGTTCGATTCCTACAACTGAAACCAATCTCAAACAAAAAACAACAAAGTTCAGTATAGTCACAAATACTACCCAAAGATGGAAGTACAGTCAACTCCTAATACACTGTATACATACTCCCCAGTTCCCCCAAAGAAACCTTAAATGGGGGTTTCACTGCATTGGTGTATGTTCACATATATACAAGGGGGTACCCAAAAGAAACCGAACTTATTTTTTTTAAACTTATTTATTCAAATTTTAAGCACAAACCTTCAATCCCCTTCAAAGTACTCTCCACTTACACTAATACACTTGTCTAGTCTTTTATTCCATTTTTCAAAACATTGTCTAAATTCATCTTTTGAGATGCTTGACAGCGCCTCCGTCATTTTTTCCTTCACCTCAGCAACATCAGCAAAACGCTTTCCTTTCATGTCTCTTTTCATTCAAGGAAACAAAAAAAAAGTTTTGATCATTTCAGGACTCCTTTCAAAGCACAGCATGCTTCCACGCGACCTTGTTTTTGTTCAGCAGTCAGCAGTCGTGGCA